CTCTGCCTAACACCATGTACAAAAGTAAGATCAAAATGGATTAAAGACCTCAACATCAGACCAGAAACCATAAGGTACATTGAAGATAAAGTTGGCAAAACCCTCCATGACATTGAAGCTAATGGTATCTTCAAAGATGCCACGCCACTGGCCGAGCAAGTGAAAACAGAGATAGATAAATGGGACTATCTTAAACTAAGAAGCTTCTGCACCTCCAAAGAAACAGTGACCAAAATACAAAGACAGTCTACAGAATGGGAAAGGATATTCACCGAATACACATCTGACAAGGGGTTGATATCCAGGATATACAAAATACTGGTTAAACTCCACAAGAAGAAAACATCCAACCCCATCCAAAAATGGGGCAATGAAATGAACAGAAACTTTCTCAAAGAAGAAATCCGAATGGCAAAAAAGCACATGAGAAAATGCTCTACATCATTAATCATCAGGGAGATGCAGATCAAAACCACAATGAGATACCATCTCACACCTCAGAGACTGGCCCACATCAAAAAGCACAAAAGCAACCGATGCTGGCGTGGATGTGGCGAGAAAGGGACACTCCTTCACTGTTGGTGGGAATGTCCACTGGTTCAGCCCTTCTGGAAAACAGTATGGACGATTCTCAAAAAATTAGAAATTGAGCTCCCATTTGACCCAGCAATACCACTCCTGGGAATATATCCCAGAGAGGCAAAAATGTATAGTCGAAGTGACATCTGCACTTGTTTGTTCATTGCAGCCCTCTTTACAATAGCCAGAAACTGGAAGAAACCTGAATGCCCAAGAACAGATGACTGGTTAAAGAAACTTTGGTACATCTACACAATGGAGTACTATGTAGCTCTTAGAAAAGATGAAGTCATGAAATTTACATACAAGTGGTACAATATGGAAAGTATCATGCTAAGCGAAATGAGTCAGAAAGAGAGGGATAGACATAGAAAGATTGCATTCATCTGGGGGATATAAAGTAACAAAGTATGAGATTAATACCCAAGAATAGCTGAGATCAGCACCAGGAGGATTACTCCATAACTTAGAGGCCAGCCGGGTATCCTAGAGGAAAGGGCAGTTCAGATAGAGAAGGGAGCACCAAATAAAGGATGTTTGGAGGATCCTCCCAGGAGGGGAGATGCATGTCGAAAGTAGACTATGGACTGAACATGTTTGCCACTCAATGCCTCTTTTGCAGACCACAACACCCAAAAGGAGAGAGAGAACACAGGGGATTGCCCTGCCACAGAGACGGGGGGATGGGGGGATGGGGGTGGGAGGGATATTATCCATGGTGGTGGAAAATGGGCACTGGTGGAGGGATGGGTATCTGATCATTGTATAATTGAAACCAAAGCACAAAAAATTGTAAATCTACAACTTTAAAAAAAATAAAATAAAATAAAGGGAAAAAAAAAAGAAATTCTGGCTAAAATAACAAAGATATATTAATAAATGGGAGAAAATATTTCCTACAATATATGTCTAATGCTCAAGTACATAAAGCATTCACAAAGCTCAACAACAAAAACATTCAATAGCCTCATCCAAAAATTGGGAAAAGAGATGAACAGCAGCTTCTCCAAAGGAGACATAAATATGACCAGTAGGTGTATGAAAATAATGCTCATCATCTCTTACTATTAGGTAAAAATCAAAACAACAGTATATCACCTCATACTAGTGAGAATCGTATTTTATTTTTTTAAATTTTTTTGCTTTTTGGGTCATACCTGGCGATGCACAGGGGTTGCTCCTGGCTCTGCATTCAAGAATTACCCCTGGCAGTGCTCAGGGGGCCATATGGGATGCTGGGAATCAAACCTGGGTCGGACGTGTGCAAGGCAAACACCCTACTCACTGTGCTATTGCTCCAGCCCCAAGAATAGTATTTAAAAAAAATACTGTATACAACCAATGCTTGTAGCAGTGATGTGGTAAAAAACTACCCCTCACTGCTAGTGGGTATGTCCTCTTGTTTAGCCTCTATGGAAAACAGTATGGAGATTTCTCAAAAAAATAATAAGAATAGAATTTTCATATGACCCAGTGATTTTACTTCTTAACATCTACTACTAAAACTGTTACAGTTACTGTCCTCCTGTTGTTCATCGATTTGCTCAAGCGGGCCCAGTAACGTCTCCATTTTGAGACTTGTTGTTACTGTGTTTGGCATATCGAATACATCATGGGTAGCTTGCCAGGCTATGCCGTGTGGGCGATATGCTCTTGGTAGCTTGCCGGGCTCTCCGAGAGGGGCGGAGGAATTAAACCCGGGTAGGGCCGGTCGCTCACGTGCAAGGAAAATGCCCTACCGCTGTGCTATCTCTCCAACCCACTGCTAAAACATTTATTCTAAAAGATACATGTAGACTTATGTTCATTGAAGCATTTAGTACAATCAATAGGCAGAATATGTAAATAATACAAATGCCCACCTATGGATGAATGGATAAAAAGCAATGAAGCGAACCACAGTTTGATCGCTGGCACTGCAGATGGCACACTAAGCACTTTCAGTTGTCACTATTGAGCACAGAGTCAGGAATAACCCCTGAGCACTGCTAGGTGTGACTATAACACCTCCAACAGCAGCTGTGGTGTATTTCCACAAATAAATATTATTTGGTCAGAGAAAAGATAAAATGATGCAGTTCACTGCAATGTGGATGAAATCCTGATTGCATCATATCATTGCATATATTAGAACATATTTATAATTATGTTAAACAAAATATCAGAGGAAGTAGGACAAATATTGGATGATCTCACTCATTTGTGGACTATAGAAAGACAAAATAAGAGAATAGAAATTACAAACGAATGACAAATATTTGCCTATGGAATATAAATCAAATTATCCAGAGCAGAATGAGAGATGGGAAAATAGACAAAACTAGATGGGGATTGGAAGAGTGGTGGAGAATCATGGGCACTTGTAGGGATGGGGTGCAGTAATTTTGTGTATGAATACCATGAACTTGAATTCTATTGTAACTACTTAAACTATAAATTTTAAAAAATGGCTCTTATAACATACTGAGGTAAAAAATCTTTTTTTAGAAAGACCTGATGGCAATAGCAGCCAGAAAGAAAACACCCACTTAGATTATCACACCAATTTCTTTGACTTTGATTGTTTGTTGTCTTACATATAAATTATATTAAGATTTGATAAAATACTAAACAGTTAATTCAATGACCAAAGTCTCTCTGAAAGACATATTAAGCAGCAAATCACAATTGGCTGACATTCTAAGTTTATGTTCAATTAATCTGGAGAGGTTACTATCAAACTTTCCAACAACTCTGGTAAATGAATGAATTAAAAGAAAGAACATTTTAAAAAAACAAATTTACATTCAGGTTTTCATTTTTGCTTTTATTTTACTTCACTTCTCTGATTCCCTTCTTAATTGTGTCTCTGGTTCATATCTGCTGCTCACACTTTTCAGGATAAACCAATTTTGTGTACTAATAGTTGTCAAAACTGTTGAAAAATATGTCATGAATTTTTGTGTGTGTGTGAGGTACAAAATGGCAATGCTTAGGACTTATTCCTGACTCTGCATTCAGGAAAAACTCCTGATGGTGCTTCAAGAACCATATAGCATGCCTAAGGATAAAACTCAGGTTGGCTGTATGCAAGTGAGTACCTTGCTTGCCTTTTGGCACCTCACAAAAATAAATTATTTTATTTTTAAAAATGTTCTTGTCTTTTAATTCATTAATTTATTTATTTAGTTTTGGGGTCACACCTGATAAAGCTCAGGGGTAACCTTTATCATTGGTTCTTCACTCAGGAATTATTCCTGATGGTGCTCAGGGCACCATATAGAACCTGGAGATTGAGCCCAAGTCAGGCATGAGTAAGGCAAGCATCTTCCCACTGTACTACCCCTAAAGCCCCTGCAAATTTATTTTAAAAATGGAAAAAATAAAGAATCATAGAAAGAGAACAAAAATTGGCCAAAGGTAACAGAAAATAAGAACGAATCTGCAGAAGTGAGCTTGCTACAACAGAAGGTGGGGCACTGGAGTGGGGGTGGGATGGGGATGAGGTGGCTGGCTGGGGACCTTGAAACAATGGTGGAGGGAAGGCGACGTTCTCGTGAAAATTGGTGTTGGGATGATATATACATGAAACTATATCATGAACAGAGTTGAAAATTATGGTGTCTCAAATAAAATTAAGAAAAAAGCAAAAACAAATGAAGGAAAAAAGCAATAAGTTTATCTGAAATTAAACACATCCAATATCTTTTTTGTGTGTGGAAAACTGGTGGAATATTTATTTTTAATTTATTTTTTATTAATTTTATTTAATCACCGTGGGATAGTTATAAGCTTTCATGTTTGGGTTACAATCACGCAATGATCAAACACCCATCCCTCCACCAGTGCACATTCCCCACCACCAATATCCCTGGCATAACCCCCCCATTCCCACCCTCCCTCTGCCTCCACGCCAGATATGATTCCCCATAATCTCTCTCTACTTTTGGGCATTATGGTTTGCAATACAGACCCTGAGACGTTATCATGTTTGGCCCTTTATCTACTTTCTGCACACATCTCCCATCCCGACCTATTCCTCCAGCCATCTTTTTCTTAGTGATCACTTCTCTATTCCAGCTGTCTTCTCCCCTTTGCTCATGAGGTAGGCTTCCAGCTATGGAGCAATCTAACTGTCCTGTGTATCTACTGTCCTTAGGTGTCAGCCTCATGTTATGTTGTTTTATACTCTACAAATGAGTGCAGTCCTTCTATGTCTGTCCCTCTCTTTCTGACTCATTTCACTTAGCATGTTACTCTCCATGTCTATCCTTTTATAAGCAAAGTTCATGACTTATCTCTCCTGAGAACTGCATAGCATTCCATTGTGTAGATGTACCAAAGTTATACAAGTCCAGTGTCTTGTTTAATACCTATGTTGATTTAGTTCTGAGTTTGCAACTTGTCAAAATAATACTAATGTTCACAAATTGCTTAAATCTTTTTAGCTACCTCTACAGGTACTAGCACAGAGTTCTCAGTGTTTAATTCAAGGACTCTTTTAGCCAAATTACTTTCATAATAATACTAATATAATGTTTTCTTTTTCTACTCCTCTCCTGAAGCAATAGCACAGCAGTAGGGCATTTGCCTTGCATACAGCCAGCCCGGCTGAGCCGGGTTTGATCTTCTGCCCCTCTTGGAGAGCTCAGCAAGCTACGGAGAGTATCTCGCCTGCAGGGCAAAGCCTGGAAAGCTACCCATGACTTATTCGATATGCCAAACACAGTAACAACAAGTCTCAAAATGAAGACGTTACTGGGCCCGCTGGAGCAAATTGGTGAACAACGGGAGGACAGTGTTTGTTTCCTGAAATACAAGTAGATATTAAGTTATCTTTTATTAAAACATACAATAAAACATCTGCAAATAATAAAATCACACTCCCCAGGATTTATTTTTGATTCTGAAAATCTATTTATGAAAATATGTTGCATAACTAGTAAGAGATTTATTTATACTATCTTAAAATAACATGATCAATCAACTTTTAACATAATTATAGTTAATATTTTTAGGATGGTAATATGTGCAACCTGTATGAACAAATCTTTTATTATCAGGATTTTCTTTTCTTTTTATCTCAATAGGGGCCATATCCAGAAATGCCTGAGACCATTAGAACTATGCCTAGTGGTGCTTGGAAGCTCTGTAGTGTCAGGAACTAAATTTAGATCTGTACTTGTGTTAGATATAGACTCTACTACTTGAGCTGTATCTAAAATCCTGAAATTTTCAGAACTTTTTAAGAATATAAAGGTAAGACAAACCTGTGAGAACCCTCAATTCTATAGAATAATTTTTTCGCTATTTAACGCTGCCCACTTAACATTCTTCTTCTGAAAGAAACTACATCATAGGAAAAGATGAATTTAATGTGTATTCTTAGCCATTGTAGACAGAGATGCTTAATCCTTTTTAGGATTGAAGGTTCTTGGAAATTGGCACTTCACCTTTTATTTGAATAAGACAATGTTTCAATGACACAAACATGGAAGATGAATCATTTTCACTCTTTTACAAATGGTATCATTCTCTTTTGATATCTTAATGGAACTATTCACATCTCTTTCATAATATCATGTAAGTTTCCAAGTGCTGAAGTTTAAAAGAATTTATGTTGATTGTTAGACTCTTAGAAGTTAACTTGAAGGGTTCCTACATATTTACATGACTATGAAATGAGCTCTCAGAAAACTCCCAAAGGCACCAAATACTAGAGACTTAAACCTTTAGAGTAAATTTCTCTGCAGACATGGAATCAGTGGTGATAAAAATGAATTCTGCCCAGATTGAAGTTCAATTATTTGAATTTAAGGTACTATGTGCATTGCTTTGACTTATGTGAAGAATTCACAGCCATGTATTTTCTGACTAATATTCAGAGTTGACAGCTTTGAGAGGATTTCTGTGTTGTCAGTTTCCCAGAGAGCAAATGAGTCACCCAGTATGTTTTAATTACCTGGGCTACTTCAATAACATAAAAAAGTAGAAGATTTGTATCTTTAAAAGTACATTTATCATTTGAATGTTGCTATGTAATTATACAAAAACAATGAAACAACAACGAAAAAAACTTCTTTCACCCGCCCAGCTTGGAGGGTAAATTTGTTACTCTTCTTTTTATAATTAGACAAAAAAGTAAAAATCAGATCATGTATCTTAATCATCCTTCTCTTACCAATATTTGGAGAGAGAGAAAGACAGAGACAGAGACAGAGAGAGACAGAGAAAGACAGAGAGAGAGTGTGTGAGAGAGAGAGACAGAGAGAGAGAACTATCTATCTATCTCTGGGGAACAAAATCAAATTTAATGTCTTTAAAACATTTTTTTCAATAGACCACTTTGTAAATGCCATTCTATCAAGTGCTATGACACTTCACAGTGCTGTCTAAATATGAAATTGGCCAGGTTTAACATAATAGCTGTCTGCGTAAAGCATGTGATTGTAAATGTCATAGGAAAGAGATGATGAATGACTGTGAAACATTTACATAGACTATAGACTATATGTTGGCTAAACTTCTTGAAGAAAATATGTTAAAACTGATGATTTCAATTTCAGATTTGGATCAAACATGACTGCTGTTTTGCAGGCACTGGCATCCTAATTCCTAGACTAGCATGGTTTCTCTAACTCCAGACATTTTTCCAGTAATTACTCTTGTTATATTACTGTTCTGTTTCCCAAAGCAAAACAGTGACTCACATCAAGGCTGAAGGGGGAACTTTCAAGAAATTAGCCTTTGTTTCTTGGTGACCTACTCAGAATTTTTTAGTTTTCCTCTACTCTGGATCTGAAAGACTGCTGGGCTTGTGTAGAATTATTTGTACTTTTATCATATGACTATTTCTAAAACATCTTAGGAGAGGGAGCATTATTATTTGAAATGTGAAGCAGCCAAATTAACTTATTCTTGACATTTTTTTGTTTTTTATTTAATTTGTTTATAGATGATTCTAAATTTTCCTATAAAATGTAATGTCATTGCCTGCCTGGAAGGGAAAGGGTGTTGCTCCCTTCTGCCTTTTTTCCCTCTGGACAGAAGATTGTGGCCACCTCGGAGCTTTTTGGAAAGCCAGGTATGAGCCGGTCATGATGGGGTGACTGAAACCTGATGGGAAGGGGGGCATTCCTGGCTTGTCCTTCACGCCCTACTGAGGTCACGAGTTGCCCCCCACAAGTGGCTCTCTGGCATGGCCATGGCTCTAGAGCCACAGAAATCAATCTTATATTTATCTGACTCTTGGCAGAAATACTTCCAGGCTTAATAAGTAAAATATCAGAAATCCAAGACATCATTTGTTTCTTGTAACCAGCTGTAGAAAACAAATTATTTCACAATGCCTTTTCAGTAGGTCTGATTTTGGGGTGTAAAGTCTAAATAATAATGGTGCATCTTTTGTCGAAACAATGAATCTAATCAAAGTAGATAGAGTGTTAACTAGAATTCATCTGCCTCACAGGCATTGGGAGGGTTGGGAGGGGGAGTATATTGGGATTCTTGGTGGTGAAAAACAAGTACTGGTGAAGGGAAATGTGTTTGATGATTGCATGACCGAGACTTAAACCTGAAAGCTTTGTAACTTTTCCCACAGTGATTAAATAAATAAATAAATGAATAAATAAATAAATAAATAAATAAAATGTAATGTCATAAGCAATAAGAGTCTCTACATTTCCCAACACTAAGTGTAAAGGTGATGGTTTCCCATATGAAATTTAGGGTTATGACAATTATTAACTAAGCTTACATCATAATCATCATAGTTGCTAATGTAGCATGACATGCACAAATCTCATTTGATCCTATGTGCACACAGGTGAGCTTTGTGGTTATATTTATTTTAATTCTGAGGAAACTGACATAAAAAAATCAAACAACTTTATGAAAACTAATATGATTCAGGATTCAAACTCAGACTGCCAAAAAGATCATGCTTTTACTAAAATATTATACTGCTTTAATCACTTGATCACTTGATCCCCATTATTCATCGATTTACTCGAGCGGGTGCCAGTAACGTCTCCATTCATCCCTGTTGTGTGCTAGCGTAGCCCAATGGCATCTGTTCATTCTAGGAACATGCTGAGCCTCAAACCTAACATTCAGGGTCTTGACAAAGAAGTCTAACCATCTTGTGCTTTAATAACACTCAAAAATAAACTATCACATTTTGCATATAACACATAGTCCTTTGGCTGGTTTCCAATGTTGTTCCAGAGGACATAGAAGTGTGGAAAGATGGATCTGTCAGAAAAATCTAAGTTAAACTCTGGTAAGAAAGAGCTCTATTGTCTCGATGACTTAAGACTTCAAAGATTTTGTTTCTCATATAGTCCCATGGGTATCTGTGGACTCTGTTCTTAGGCCAGATCCCAAGATGACATAGAGTATGTCATCCACTCTATTTTAGCATGACTAGTGAAAAAAATGTGAAAAAGCATTTCTCAACCATTAATATGTCTTTCTAGAGGTAGTACATGGCATTACATTTTATTGGCTTAAGAGAATCACAATAACTGACTCAACTCTGAGGAGAGTACCATTTTCTTATAGGTCTCAAAGAAGAAGTTGGGATGTAGATAAAGTGTTCCTAGAATTTTGATTATCTAGACCATATCAAGGAGGAGTTTGTTAAGACAGCAAAGGATAGACAAAGACTGGAACACTGATCCCTGACAGTTAAAAGTTATCTCTGTCTGCATTTGTTACTTTTTTAAGAACAATTTTATGACAAACCCAAACAAGGTTTGAAGCCTGCCACATAGTTTCAAAGCACCTGTTCCCCTTTCAAATCACTCATTACATCTGTCATTCATTTTAGTCTCTTATGAGTATGATTTTGTATAAACTCCATGAAGACTGAGAATGAAACTGTATTGGCCACTATTGTATTCATCCATCCTTTAATCCATATCCTGCCACTGTAAGATTCAAATCACTCAAATAATTATGTATTAAGGCAGTAATATGTGTTAAAGTAAGAAGAGGGGCTGTAGCAATAGCACAGTGGGTAGGGCATTTGCCTTGCACAAAGCCTACCCGGGTTGATTCCCAGCATCCCATATGGTCCCCCAAGCACCGCCAGGAGTAATTACTGAATTCTGAGCCAGGAGTAACCCCTGAGCATCATTGAATGCGACCCAAAAAGAAAAAGAAAAGTAGGAAGAGTCAATAGGAAAGAAATTTGTAGTTTTCCCACCCTGACTTTATGAGTAAGTTTCACTTATATCATGATCAAATTATCCTCTAAGCCAAACAATCTAAACTCTGTCACTGTCACAGTCCTCCCTTTGTTCATCAATTTGCTTGAGCAGGCCCAGTAACATCTCCATCATGAGACTTGTTATTACTGTGTTTGGCATATTGAATACATCACGGGTAGCTTGCCAGGCTTTGCCCTGCAGGCAAGATCCTCTCTGTAGCCTGCCAGGCTCTCCAAGAGGGGCGAAGAAATTGAACCCCGCTCAGCCGGGCTGGCTGCACGTAAGGCAAACGCCCTATCACTGTGCTATCGCTCCAGCCCATCTAAACTCTAGCTCTATTATTATTT